TCATAGTTCCTCCACTGGGAGTGCTTGGACTTCCCCTTCTTGCTCCTTTGAGCCTCCTGCATATAGTAAGAATACATAAGAACAAATAATAACAAGCAAGAAATGTTAAAACCAGAACGAAAAACTCAAAATTTAGGCCATACCACTGCAATCACTTCATAAATAGGAGTCACAACTTTCCTCAAGAATGCATCTTCCTCCCCTCCATAAGCTGGTTTCACATTTTCCCCAGTCATGGGACTAACATTCCCAGCCAGCATACCATAGAGTTCAAATGCCATCTGCGGAACCATGAAATAGAGCAGCAAGTATATAAATAACACATTCAAGAATGCATAATACCAAAAAATCGGTGCATTAAAAAAAGCAAGCATGTTACCCATCACTGAATCATACTAAAATTCTAATTACCAAGGATATCAACCGGCACTTTATCATCAGAACATAATACACATGTTTCGCCTCAAAATCAGAGTCGATGAAGGTTTATTATTGAGCTTGCAAGTTAACTCTCCTTAGCAGAAAAAAAATAATGACAAAAGATAAAACTTCCAAGGACAAAAGAGCACAGTAAAGCATAATATTATCACTGGCGGACAAGTTTAGAAAAGACAGGAATCACGCACAAACTACAGAAGACTTTGCAAACTGAAACATACATGATGATAAATGTAGCAGAGGCACTCTGGCATGAATCTCAAGTTCGCTGCTTCGCCCCAGATTAGAAGATACAGGGCCATATACAATAGTTTGCGCTGTTGCATTTCCTGCTGTATAGTTGGCAACCTACAAGCAGAGTTTGCATAAACATTTAGGCACAAAGAATAAATTTAATTCCCTGCTCATGAAGAATATAAAGAGACCCTTTGTTGCTTCCACGATTGAAAAATTCTTTCCACGTTTACATATTTAGCTACTCCTGCAGGAATTATAAAGAATCAAATATAGTGTCCAAGATTTCCTTACCAGAGACTACTCTTTCTTCCAAGGTATTTGCACCATTTCTTATAGTTCTTGAAGAGCTTTTTCATCACTTCTGTTAGTGCTTGATCATCCATCTGTGGGAAGAGAGTGGGTTGTCATTATGAGAACAAACCAAAATATAACTTGAAAGTACATTTACTATATATTATGCTCATTGTAGTATGCAAACAAATATATTTCTCCATGGGGAAAAGCATGATGCAAAGAAATCACCTTGGTTGGAAAATGAAAAGATTGATAAGACAACAAAAGGATAAATTGAAGTTTACGTGGCATGGCCATACAACACCTATATAAAAGCGGTCTTTCAACAATGGTAAAAATTAAGGTACACACCTTTGGCTGCTGATCAGGCTTAGGAAACTGTCTTATATGCACATTAGCAAGTAATAAGATCAGGTGCTCTCTTTGATTAGCCACATTGTCTTTCTGCAGAACCATAACATACGCATAAAATATGCAAGTTAGCAAGTAATAAGATCTGGTGCTCCTAAGATTAGGCTGCATTGTCTTTCCGCCTAACCATTCAGGATATACAGATTACTCTCAACAAAAGTTTATTGAAAAATTGCAAGCATTAGTAAAATTACCTGAAATCCAAACATTTCTAGAAGCCAATCAAGCATGTCTTCATCTTTCTTTTTCTTGTGACCTTCTGGCCAAGGAAGACCTCTAGTGTTGCGAAGAGCAAGAACAGCAGCTTGGATCTGCAGTAAAGATATTACATTACCCGCTGATAACACATCACAAATATATAACCGTGCCCAAAATGAAACAACGATAGGACTAACCTCAGGATATCTCATAATCGCTTGATTTGCACTATCAGGATCGAGCGGTAGGATATTATAGGGAACATACAACTGTGTCTTTTCTGCAACCTTATCTTGAGCTTCCAGAATCTGGAAACATCAAACTTTGTTGTAACATTGCACAATAGATAGGGAAAAAGAAAGATAAATACATCAAGGAAAAACTCGAAGCAGAAAGTGGACTAAAAAGGCGCAATGCCCTTACCTCCCGGTCAACCTCAATAGACTGAGTCAGATTAACAGCCCTCAACACCTCAAACAAAACATTGGCAGTTTGGTATGCCTTTGTCAGCTGGGCACTGAAAGATTAACAGCACGTAAACCATCAGTTAGCGAACTCGGTGCTCTAAAAAACACTAAGAGAACACTAATCGGCATCTTAAAAGTAAGGTTATAGACAAACCGGTCAGCCTTATCAGCAGCATTGTGCAAAGCTTGAATATACTTCTTATAGTAATGTTGATAAAAACTCTGCATCTCACGGGCATCACTTTTCTTAACCCTCCCCATCAATGTTGGATCATGTTCCTACAAAAACAAAATCAAAGCAAATTTGTTAAAAAGATAAGTACTAAAACCAAGATTTCTTCTTTACAAACATCAGTAGCTACAGAAATCCGACACATGCACGAACTAAGTAAGAATGCTCACTCTTTCAAGACGCTGTAGAAGAGCAGTCTTAAACTGCCGAACACCTCTTCCACTAGAGGTCGGATCCAGCCTATGAGCTTTCTCAAATGCATAAAACCGACCTAAAAGAAGAAGACCAACCAGAAGCAGATTAAAAACAACAAAGAAGCAAATACTACAAAATCAAAAGCCAAAACTGTGAAAGAAAGAAAGAGCTTACATAGATACGCAACCCTAGGGTTACTAGATTCAACTTCATTAGCAACACGGAGAATAGGGGCAATCTCAACAAGAGACGAAGGAACAATTTCACTGTCGAATGACTCTCCGAGATTACCAGTAGTTTGTGTCCGAACAATCCGACGTTGCTGAGGCTGTGACGGTCCTTGATCAGGACCAACTCTCGAAGCCGACATTGGCTTCTACCCCTAAAACCTTACAGGTTAAGGTTTCTCAAAACCCCTCTTGAAACAAACAACTCTTTATAGACAAAAC